AATGTTGCGACTTTATTCTCGTAATATTATGACTTTATTCTCGTAATATTATGACTTTAGTCTCATAAAGTTACGACTTTATAATGTTACAACATTATTCTCATAATGTTATGACTTTATTCTCGTATTTAAAAAAAAAAAAAAAACTTCTCTAGCCTGGCCCTAATACTCCGTCGTAGTATATCAAGGCCCATGACAGCAGACGGAGTCTACTAGCTGTAAGTGTACATTTTCCCTCCGGGTATTTTGATTTAAAAAAAGAAATAATAGGTTTAATTTGAAGGAAGCACATTCCATTTGATCTGATTTTGTCCTTTGTGAGTTCAGGGCTTTTTTGTGGATGTTTGATTCATGGACTATTTTGTTTTTGGTTTTTTGGTTGTTTTGTTTTTGTTTTTTGTGGGGTGGGGGTAGGATGAAAGTTTTTGGATGGAATATGAACTCATTTACTGCTTGACTATAAGCCCAGGGCAACTCCAGGTCAAGCTGGAGCTCTGGAGGATAGTTAGAATTTGATATGGACCTGTAGGATGGAACTGTAGGATGGACTACCAGTATACAGAATGTGATTTGCAGTTCTACCCAAAACACACATGCCAAAACTTACCAATGCATTGCGTGTTAAATCTCAACGAGAAGGTAAGAGTAATATCAGGATCATACAATCATATGATTAAGAGTTGCCCACATGTAATCAGATCAACTAGATAAATCAAGAAGAATCTGTTGTCTTTATCTATGCATGTAACAAGCTCTGTATAATTCCGTATTCTTAATTGCATGTTAAAAATCTTGATAGACAGTAGAGCTGTGAGTTGGATAATCACCAGTACCGTAGTTTAAACTTTTCAAATTGGATGTTTGTAAGGAACAGGCTAAGAAGTTACAGGCTCAGGAGCACTAAATAGTATTCAGTCTAATCTCTAACGTTAAGGACACACTCATTTCTGTTAACAAGTAAGCAACAATGAGCATTATTTAAGAAACCAGCAAACTGTTTCCTGTGAAGGGAAATAACAGTTGGAACAAAATATCTCTTGAAATATCATCTACTTTCCTCGATTAGTTGAAGATAAACCGTTCAATATTTTTTTAACACTAGAAGTCCCAGAGAATTTCAGTTTTGTGTGTATGAATGTGCCCTAAATGTAACAATGCTGGCAAAGTATTGTGGAAATGTTCAAGCTAAAACTTCAATTCTAATCACTGAAACTGTTTGAGATATTTTTAGAGATTTTTTGTGGTGAAGAATTAGAATGAAGCTATAGTAAATTAACAAACATAATGATTCACAGAGATAAAAAAAGGGGGTAAAGTTTAGAAATGTTGAGTGGGCAATTTCAAACACATCGCAAATGTAATGATTTTCAGATAACACTTTCTGTCCTAAAAATTGTATTGGTATTTTTCACAATTATTTTAGTTTCAATTTAAGTTTAAATGGAACTTTCTGGACCAGTTTCCCAGTCAGGGTTTAAATAAAACCAAAACTAAACTAATCTGGTTTAATTCAATCCACACTAATCCAATTGCTTGGTGTTGTTTAATTTCAGATTAACTAGCTCCAGACTGCCCTGCGATGGTCCAGGGTGTACCCCGCCTCTCACCCACTGACCACTGGGATGGGCTCCAGTTCCCCCAGCGACCCAATCAGCGGTAACGATAATGGATGGATGGATGGTTCCAGACTACAGAGTCTCTGACTAAGGTAATCAAGGATCATTCAGATCATGTGTTGGAAGCCAATCAAATTAACAATGTGCACCTGGTGCAAAAGTGATCTTGCTGGGAAAATCTGGGTTGGAATTTTTCTATTATAAATTTTATCAACCTGTGTGTATGGAACAGGAGTTTGAATTCTGGGCAAGCATGGACAACAGAAAAAGAAAACTTCAGTGAAAGATGCTTTTGGAGGAAATTATTTGAAAATATCCCATAATTGAGGACAAAAAATGCAATTCAACCACAGAAATAAAAATAAAAAACAGTACGCATGGACTTCAATTTTGAACATTCAGGCAAGATTTATTTATTTTTAGTATCTTGATTGTTTTAATCACTCACAATTAAATGTATATTTGCTCATATGAAGCCATATGTTGCCTGGTAATAATCGTGTGGTGAAACATGAAAAATGCAGCTGAAGAAAACAGCCACTCTTCAGTACTCTTTGTTACAATGTGTGTGTCTTTGTATCTATTGTCCTGCTCAGGTAAGCTAAATAATACCATATTTTGCACTCTGAATGAAAAGGAAGACCATGTTAATAATGGTACAAAGTGTAGTAAAACCAAATCAAACAGATTACTTGTGAATCACTCAACAGTTTCCATTATCTTTTCTTTGTGTTTTTGAAAATGCTGCACAGCAAAGCTGTATCTATAAGCATGTCCAGTTTTGTCATTGGCTAGCTACATGGGAACTTGTGTGTCATTGATAGGGCTGAACAATTTAACGTTTTCTGATCAAAATTGCGATTTCAGACAACCGATCACATGATCCCCAAAGTCGCGATTTGTTGCAGTGATCCTGACCGACCCTGAATCTGATGTCAGCTGTTTTACACATAGCCTGATTCCCCTCACCCTACCGTCCCTCCAACCAATCAGAGGCGGCCTGCTGCTCGTGGACAGGTCATGCTAACCAATTGATCACAGTCATAACGCACCACATTGCCAAGGCCATGTTGTCCGTTACCAGTAACCCAAAGAGGGATTTAAAATGATCCTCCATACTGTTAGCCCAATTTTTTAATTGGAAGACTGAGAATAAACCAGAGAAATGATGGAATTTATTAATGTAATGTAAAGTATGTCAGCGCACTGGAATCTTAACTGACAAAGCTCAATGAGGTTCTCTATCATAAAAAAGCCTAGTTCTGGGTGTAGTGGACATTTATCTCCTTGGGCTGGGCCTGCCCTGTACAGATATAGGACTGGACGCATCCGAGTCTTATTGGCCAGTACCATCTGACATGATCAGGCCAGATCCAAATCCATGCAGATTTCACTGAGATGTGATAAGAAATGTGTGTGCTTGAGTGTTGTCCATGAAGATCTGGATCCAATGTCTCATGGAAAAAAGAGAAATTTTGAAGTACAACTATAGTCATAACATGAGTCCAGTGTGTGAGTATATTTCTTAAAATGACCAAAATCCATTCATAAATTATATGAAATTCAGTAGTGAATCTAGCAATAAAGTAAAACAAAGTAACCCTCTACATTTAGTAAATATAAGCCAATCCTAACAGCTCGCTGAACAGAAGGTATGTAATCCCCTCCCGCACCTACAATGTCGAGTGTTATGCGACAACTTCTGATATGTGGTCAAGCAGAACGACCGAGCTGTATCCTTGCCCGACTGTGCATTTCGTAAATGTAAACTTTGAATTGAAAAGTCGCTGCCAGCAGACAGCATACCTTCCCACTGACCACACCAGAGAGAATATTGCACTGAGATTGAGTGTTTTTGTTCAGTTGTAACAACTGCTGTTGGTTAAGAACTTTATAGAATGTAAATTTCTTAATGAATACATAATAAATCAATTCTTCATTTTCATTTTTTAATTTAGAGTAATGGTATTTAAGGTTTTAATGGTATGATGTCAAATTTTTGTCGTTTTTCTAAATGTTACTGTACATTGTGAATATTGCACTGAAGCTTGATTTGAGGAAAATCAAATATAATTGATCAAATTGAAATTGCAAAGTCAGCCAGAAAATTAGATATTTTCCTGTAATCGTTCAGCCCTAATCATTGCAATAGTCAGTCAGTGGGTCTACACAGCCCTGCTGTCTGAGGTAATTACGAAGCACTGAAGCTGCCACAGTAACAACCCAGCATCTTCTTGGTTCAAAACCTAACGTGTTTCTGTGACATTAGAAATTATTATTCAAGATACCAGTTTATCTGAGGGTCGTGTTGATCCAAAGGAGATGTGCTCATGGCAATTACTGGAACAAATCAAGCGGTTACTTAAGAAAAACTACGAACACAGAAAGGTGTTAACCACCCTACCCCCCCACAAATATTATTTTACCTGTACTAATAAAATAATACCCCTTTGGTATATAACAAACTACTCTATCGGTCTATCAAAGATGGGAAAACCTCGCTCTAGACATTCACAGTAAGGGATACTGACCACTGACCACAGAGCATCACTGAACCTGCACAGTCAGAAACACAGTAATAACACCAAGTTCTTTTAAAAATCAGGTAAAGTCTGATAATCATTTAATAGTTTTACAATATTTTCAAAACAAACAACATTTAAATCTGACAAACAGAAAACAGAGCAAGTATTAGTCACCCCGAAGAAAATAGTAAAGGACAAGGTGGCTAAAAGTAACCCTCAGGGCAAAAAGGTATGGTGTCAGCACATTACAAATCCCAGCAGATGTGTAGCAGTTTGCATAACAACAAAATACAGAAGATAAAGCCATTTTCATTCATATCAGAGTCACTGTTGTGATAAAAAAGACATAATCAAAGGAAAGTTATTGTGATTAAGTCTCAGTTTATAGATTATAGTATATAGTTTATCGGTCTATACTGATGCGTAAATAATGAAACATGAGAAACACGTTAATCCTCAACAAATGTACAAATCAACTATGACAAAAACCCATTGGTTTTAAGTCATGATGAACTGATAGTGGGGTTGTACATAGACATTACCATACCCCTATTTTGCCCCCATTTTTTAAGGTTCACCTTACTGTGATGTGATAGTTGTAATCTCCCCACCAAGTCTCATTTGGTGGATAAATTCAGTCCCACACAGAGCTCAGGTTCAAGATTTGCTTCCACAGGGAAATTTTATACAAGAGCCGAGGTTTGAAAGACTTCTATCCTCTGTGTGTAGTGGATTGCAGTTGTTTTTAGGATTTGATTTCCAAATATCTATTTACCTGCCTGGTTTTAATACTGAAAGTCTGTTCTTTTACCAAGGTAAATTTACAGAACTTAAACTTCACATTTCCTTCAAATAAAAAGTTTTGAAAGTGTGAAACGTGACTTTATTCTAAATTAAACTGAATGACCATAGAGGAAAGTCAAGGCCGTTAGCACATTAGCTTCCTCTGTGGGTTGTGTATCGAGGGTTATCCTTTACTGGACAGTGACAGTATTGGACAGAGGAAACAGAAGCCACATTTGTATCTCCCGATGATTTACAAAATGCAGGACACTCCTGAGTTTTTTCAACCCATTTAGCAAAGTCCTGAACTTTCTTACACATTTTTCAGTATAGCTTTAAATGAAAGCGCCCAGTTGAGCTCAGAAGTGTTCCCTGTGAAATGTCCCAGTAGTGCTGGTAAACCATGAGTGTGCATCCTGATAATACGACTGTATTTATCGCACTTAACACAAAACCAGACGCCAGTGAGAATAAGATGGGAAACTCACCGACCTTCCTCGGTCCCAATAAAACACATATCTTTGTATAATGTCCTTTCACACACTCATTTTTTGTTTTGTTTTGCTACTTTGAGACAACTTGAACTGTAGGAGCACATCTGGCATGAAGCCCTTCCAGCTGTGGATGAACTCTGGAACTGAGTCTGACATATTTCCCCAAATATAAAAATGGCTGCCGGAACTGTGCTGAAAAAAACATCAACTTTTGTTTAGAATCAAAACTTAATTTGACCCTTTCAACTTGCACAAATAACCATTAATAATCAGTGAAAATGAGAAAAAAAAGATCAACTAAAACTAAATAATAAAGGATTTTGTCACATAAAAACAGCTGCAGCTCCAATAATAGTTCTTTCATGGAACAGACTTTGAAGATGATGCCTGAATCCAAACTCCTCTCTAACTCTCTGAGGGAAGGAGGTGAGCATGGTGGCTGATGGCCTGCTCCATAGAGCTTTTAAAAGCCTGGTAGGAGGATGTGACGGGCAAGAGGAGGACTCTGGACTCTGGCTTGCTCTGGGGGAAAAGCCCGTTGTCACTCCACTCTTCATCCTCTTCCCGTTTGGATCCTTGCCGGGAGGGGTTGGGATGGTAATGGAAGAGAATGGAGGGAGGGGGGCTGAGGCCAACAGGCGGCAGCTCCTCAGCTCCAGTGGTAAAGCAAAGGACGTCCTGCAGGGAGATGGAGCTCCTTCCAGCTGAAGAGAGGGCAGGAGTTCATCAATTGTATTAAAAAAAACGCTAAACATGAACATTTTATGCCTTACTTTTGATACCTGCATACACAAAACATTTCTAAGAAATTTAGTCAAATTCAGGCAGGGATTACCGGTATGTTGAATTAAAGCTCCATCTGGAACAGTATTAAATCCTCTGGATTTGAATCTAGAGGAGCTTATTCTCTGTCTAAACAAAATATTTCACAAATCAGTTTGAATAAACTCTACCTTCACACTCCAGCAGGAAGTTTTCCCAGAACCTGATGACGGCCTTCTCTTGTTTCAGCTTTTCCTCCCGCTCAGAAAAGCCCACGGTGAACAGCTGGCCCAGAGTGTGAGCTGTGAGACTGTCAGCAGCCTCGCAGAAAACGCCGGAGAAGACGGACGGGAAGAGCTGGACCTGGATCAGATCAAGGTTTTATTGTTGCAGGTTGATTTTTCATCAGATTAGTAAATAAGCAAAAACGTTTTCAGTCTCACTAAATCTCCTTTTAAACTCTTGTTTAGATTTACTAGAAATTGGGATTGCACGTCCAATAAACATTACATGAATTTACAGAGAGCCATAAAGTTTATACATAAAGCAAAGTTGGGATTTAAACCAGGACGTTTAGCATTTTAGATAAACACTAAACTGTATTTGCATCAAGTCTGATTGTTTTAGTGAAAATGAATGTATATATTTCTTACAAGTTATGTTTCAGTTTCAAAGATTCGGTTTTGAAATGTTTAGTTAATCAAAGTCTAAACTTTGAAACTGACATTCAAACAATGTGATTAGGAAGGGGTAAAATCCTTTTCTAATGATGTTACCAGTCACATTACTTTCTACAGTTTGCATCACTGCAGGCAAAAAAACAATAATAATGAAATAATAATAATAATAAGATGGGAAAAGTCACCTGATCAAACACACCCAAAGTCTGCAGACCCTCACGAAACCTGCAGGAGGACAGAAGGACATATCTTTAGAACTGCAGTAAAAGAAGCTTCAAAAAGAGTGAAAAAGGCACTGAACATTGGTGCTGGGATTACATTTTCATTATTTTACACTCAAGGTGTGTTTACTTTTCAGTTTTTAAATCTAACATTTCACACAATGTGTATTATCCAACTAAATATCCATTTATGGTCAGATTTATGAGACAAATAATGCGTCCATAAAGACAATTTAAAAAAGGAGAAAACAGAAATCCGATGGACATTATGCCTTTAATCTAAATTTATCACACAGGGGTGGAGCAGAAATCAGTAAAGCTGATATCTTCTAATTGAATATGCTGTTTAAACTAGTCTTTCTTGAATATAATAGTATGACAGTCTTTGTCTATTATGTTTTTTTCATCAATTCATTAAGATTTGAGACATACATTTCCAACTTGAGTAATCATCATCGAGGATGATCATGCTTGTGACTTTTTATTTGTGTGATTGCACAACAAAAAAACAACAACTGTATGCACATCTTCCAAGAGAGACGACTCCATATTTTTGCCAAAGTTTATATGAATGTGTTTGTTGTTTTCAGGAAGATTTTTTTTCTAAAACACACATTTTTGGATAAGCATGGTAATTTTAAAGAACTAGAAGTTGGATTGTACTGTAAACAGGCAAACGGCATATACCGCAAACACCATATAGAGTTCCTTTACCAACTGTGTGTGTCTATACCAACTTTTTCTGTTCATTTATCTCACCTTTGCAGTGGCAGCTGCATCCTGGTGATCATTGTGAAACTGATAAGATCCTCCACCAGAGACTTTCTGTCCTCCAGGCTGCTGATTGGTCCGTTGCAGCCAGCCAGCTCCAGGTACTCCCTGCTCACCATCATGACTTCCCTCAGATCATCTAAAGACTCTGCCTGTGCGATCTGACACAATAATATCAAATGTTACGTTTTGAATTTTAAATGTCTGTGGTACGTACTGCAGACGGCCGGCGACTTTTTGCCTGTGCTCACCCGAGTAACTGTGCGGGCGCAGAGTGTGTCCGGCGTCATGTGCTCAATCCTGAGCGGGCAGTTGGCCGGATAGTTGAACAGACACTGATAGAGGGCGCGGGAGAAGAAGCCAACAGATGGGCCGCCGTGGACCAGAGAGAGAGCGAGCAGACAGCCGACGTCAAAGTAAAGGTCCTCTCGCAGAGCTGAACAACAAACACACAATTTATGAAACATGGAATGCTTAGTGAGATGCTTGAGATCTCCACACATGATTAAAAAGCCGACCCCACTGTTGAGCAGGCACTCATTTACATCATATGTCGCAAATAAATGATCCCGATCAATTCTTATTACCCTGGGAGTCTAGAGCCAGGTTTTTGGACCCACAAGGACCTTCAAACACTACGGATTCCTGGATCTGCTGCATCAGCAGTTTAAAGAAGTACTGCCTGGCTGTGTTCGGGTCGGTGAGGCTGCTGGGAAATGCGATTGGCTGCTCTTCTATGAACCTGGTCGAAGATAGTTCACAGTTTAAAAAAGACAATAGCGTGAAAAATAACCAAGGCAAATGTTTTTTTACCCACTGACCTGATGGACAGAGCGTGTGTGGGATCGAAGTCGGCCCTCGCCACCAGCTCCAGAGCAGCCGACAGAGCCTGGTCGTCATTCACCTCCACTGTTACGGTGACCGGCTGAAGCCGGTCAACTAAAGGCTGAAGGAGCTCCTCGGGGGATCCAGACGTTGCAGGTAAAGAAGGTCTGAAAGCAACAGGCAAAGTTGCACTGACTATGAAGTTTGAAGAAGGGAAAAGGGCTAAGCCGTGCTTTCTTTGTGTACCTTTTACAGCTGACCGACGAGTAAATGGGGGAGAGATGCCGCTTGGACAGTAGGTTTCTCCTCTGACCTTTCTGAGGTGTCGTGACCAGGGAAGCTGGGGGAAAACAAAACCACACGGTTCAGTTCTAGCAAGAGCATAAGTCTCAAATATAGGAAAGAATAAACCCGTTACGACACAAGAAGTGAGGTTATCTACAGTAGCTCAGACCTTTCCCATCGGTGGCCTTTGTACAGTCCCCGCAGGCCCAGTCTCTCGTGTCCAGTTTCAGCCCACAACATTTTCGGTGAGTCCCCTTTGATCCACAGAGCCGGCACCGAATCACCTCAAACCAACTTAATCAAGCACATAACACAGAAACATCAAATGTGTTGACTGTTAAGATTTATTCATTTACTAGTCTTATTGCCATTGTTGATTATCTTCTGCTCCTCCACATTAGCAATTCATTTGTGTATATTTTCTATCTCTGCATGATTTATTGTAGTTTACGTCATATAGTTTAAATTACACACGCAATTAAACACGTTATGCCAAATTCTAATGTAACTGATTTAAATAAATAGTTTAAAACGCTTTATTTCCAAAAATAGAACAGCCTCTGTCTTTCCAGTGGGAACTTTGCTCATATTCTTTCACAGTTCAGAAGGCAACGGGCACAGATTGTAGTTATATACACTGGTTGTGTGGTACATCTGATATTGGCAACGGGCACACATTGTAGTTATATATACTGGTTGAGTGGTACATCTGATATTGACTGAAAAGGTTAATTGAGACACATTTGGAACGCTACAAAAAAAAAAAAACTTGCAGAATGAAAGGAAAGCACACTGATGGAACGTGTTTATGAAGCAGTTCTTTCACAATGAAGGAAATATTTAAAACCTTGAAAGTGAGACATTTAACAACTAACATTAAAATCCAATGATTTGCTATTTTCATTTTTAACAGCGACTATGTCCCTCAAAAATGCCGGGACAAGTCCATGTTTCACATCATGTGACCTTCCCTCTTCTTCTGGATGGAACATCTGGAACTGAGGAGAACAGCTGCCCGACCTTTGGGAGAGGAATTGTGTCCCATTCCTGTCTAACAGAGGATTCTAACTTAGACTTAGAGACTTAGACAGTACTTTATTGATCCCTTGGATTAATAACTGCTCAGGTATCTAAAGATTTCCTGAAAAATTTGAATTATTTCAATTGTCTGACTTCAGAACAGTTTACATTTTGAGTCAGGCCATTTTACATGAGCCTTGGTCCAGGAAAAATGGCAGTGTGTGTGGATCATGTTCACATCCAGCTTCCTCTTGCATGATAGTGCTTCGGCCTGCACTTGTGGATGGACATTGTGAGCTCCTGTTTGTAGAAATGTTCTTCAGCCCATGAAGTGATTTATTGGTCTTTTTATTGGCTGCCTGAAAGTCACATCCGGTATAAAATTTCCAACTGTGTCTCTATAATTGATTAAATATTCTACACAATGTTTCACTGAGAAAAATTCTGCAGTTTCTTCATAGAGCCTTCCGTACTCTGTTGTGTTTCGGACATATTTGAATATGTTCCTCTTTTTACCAGCAGGTAAACAACCGTTTTTTTTTTTTACACTAGTTTTAGACCACTTAATTGTAAAGAAACAGCAGTTATTAAAAGTAAGTGACTTGCAGCTGACTGCAGATGAAAGGAAACATTTGAGTTCCTGAGTGCCACTGTAGAGGAATTGTTTTGCTCCTGGTTAGGAATTATGTGTTGCTGATATTCATGCATTTCCAACAGAGCCTTTCTTCGGCAATCTGAATAACTTTATTCACTAAACAGTTCCGCTAAACTGCGGCATGCTCCAGTGATCACTCACTTTTTAAGAGCTGCCGGGACCACAATGTGGATAAAAACTTACCATATAATTTACTTTGTGATCAAACTGACAGCTTTGTCAGTGTTACAGTTTGTGTGTATGACATTCAATTCTGGGTGATCCATAATTCCCTTTAATTCAGACAGTATTTTGTTATTTCTAATCTCAGGTTAAACATGTGATCAAATCCTGTTTTTTAATGCAACTATATCTACTATATGGTCAGTTCAGTTGGCTTCTAACTATTATTTCCTTAACTATTACTAAACATGATTATCATCTAATAGTCAACCAAATTCTGTTCCTGTTGCTTTCATCGTTCTGTATGTTTTGTTATTTTATCATAACGTCATCACAATGTGTTGCTGAATCTTTAGGCTGAATTAACCCACTGCCATAAATGTAAGTAAATTACTACATACACTTTTCTAAACAGTCTCCAATTTGAACTTTAAAAGACATACCCACTCTTGGCAGAATGTGCGCGCCCACTCTCGCAGAGGCAGGTGACAGAGTCACAATAGTTGTAAACCTCCAAAAGGTCTGAATACGCGTTTGCTTCCAACTCCCATGAAGCATCTCTGCATGGCAGAAAAGAATTAGTCAAGTGTTTTCATCCCTGCTTTACATGTGGTTTATGTTCAGCGGTGAATGGTTGCATTACCTCTCTGGGATGTATATTCCCATCCGGATCATGTCCTCCTGGAAATTCTCTTTGTTATTACAGAGAGTACATCTGAAGAAGAAGAGGCCTGCACTGTGAGCCTGACGCTGATGCAAACATGTAAATACAAGAAGGAAGTCAGGTACACAGTCCTTTATATGCAGGATTTTGTCCAAAGAACCTCCTCTAATGTTTAAACCATAAAAATGATTTTTTTCTTAAAGAACGAACAAAAAACAACACACTTGATAAAACACAGTTGATTGAGATTTATCAAACAGACTGATCTTTTGTTGATCTCCAGTGCATTTATGTGCACTTTAGCAATAAATTAGCACTTTAGCAAAGCCAGCAACTACAACATGCATTACAATTTTAAAAGAGAACGTTCAAAGCATGTCTTACAAAAAATATGCAACAAAATATGCTAAATGAATAGGCAAGCGATTAAATAAAATTGTGGTTTATTGCACACATGTACTACCTGCACACAGTCTCTGTGGAACCAGCTGGTGTGACAAGATGGACACTTGAGGACAGAGTAGGACAAAAGAGGCTCAATGGAATCTAAACAGATGGAACAAGACTGAGGCAGACTGATGTCTGACGCCACACAAATCGACTGAGATGGACTGTGATCCCGACAGTAAGACCTAGACAAGCAGATTCAAAGGGAGTTTAGATCATTCGTGTGTAAAAGTGTGTTCTATATTCAGAGCATCTTTCAATTTAGAAGCAGAGAAGCACTATGATCTAATATTTTTATTTAGCATTGTTTGTTCCAATTGTAAAATCTGTGAATAAGCAGTCCTCTGTTTGAATGATACTCTTGCTCTTTGAGACACCAATAGATGGTGAATGTAGCCGGAACTCACCACCAATATTTGGTGGGAAATGACAGATGACTCCGACTGTGCCACTGTTAATATGAAACTGTCTGGAATGAGAGCACTCACGGGAACAAGCCAGTAAACTGCGAGATGAACATCTGTTTCCGCCCACAGGGGAAGTGAACCATCCGCCGGCAGCTTCGGACGTTGCAGCCAACACATGCCCCCTTCTTTTTACAGCCAAAACATGTCTGCAACATATGGTAAACCGGTTTACACTTCTGTATCTTGCTATTTCTTTCATTCATAAAAGCATATTGGACATCAAGATATGGACAGCAGACAGTTTGTCACAGTTAAGAAGTCACAATCAATAAACCCAACCAAAGAATCAAAGAACCTCAGAGTTAAATTCAAGTGCAGCTCAACTTTTAGCAATATAGCTACTAAAGAGCATAGCCAAAGTTTAGAACCTGAAGAAAGGCCTTCAGATTATGTTATTTCATTAATTCCAAAAGTCAGGACTAAGACAAATAGAGAAGCATTATTTGGCTTCATGGTTCTTTCCCTGGTTTAGTCTGGGACCGTTGATATATTCAAAAACGATCCTAAGAAGTATGTTTTAAGAAAAGCTTTTAGATGTAATCTTATTGACACACTGAAATATTTGACTTACATTTGGAATTATTATTTCATTTTTAAGGAGTTATGGAGGGTTTTGAGTATTCACATGACCATGAGAGCTTCATGTGTGTCCATGTGTGGTTTACAGATCCCTTTTGTTCTACTTTGATTGAATCTCATTGCTAATTTGCCATTTTTGGTGTGACAGAAACTCAGTGGACTCTCTAATACCGATGGTGTAATATAGATAATCATCAACCATGAGCTCACCAGTCGGGACGACCTGCGGATCTCCCGTTTGATGTCATCAACCAGGAAGCCAAAGACACCTTCATCCTCTTCACCTCTCTGGTAAACTCCACAAGAGGTTAACTAAAACAACACACGTTGTCATTGGCATACACTCTTGACATTCCATATGTCAGAATAAATTGAACATAGGCTTATTTCAAGTCAAAACATTTGGAATATATCATGTTTACTTACTAAAATAAGAAGTTTTAGACATAAAAAACTAGAATAAATAAGAAACTTTAAGAAAAGGATGTTGATTGAATCAATTTCATTTGCTGGCTCCAAAGAAGAGTCCCCATTAAATACTTTTTACCTCTATGTTTGCTAAATATAGAATTGTACAGCAGTGAACAGTACTGTACTTATCTCTTGTTCTGCATGTATGGCGACACCATTGCATTTACATAAACTTTAAATAATTCTCCCAGTTCAATGTGGGCTAAGCCCATTCTTGGCAAAACACGCTTAGAAAGTAGATCAGTCACAGACAGGTATGAAAGCGGTTAAGAAAATGAATGGACGAATGGTTAAGAAGCAAGTGGCGTAGCTTTAATGGCATATCCTGGTTCAAACTCTTCTGTCATCATTTCTCACAATATCCTAACTATGACTTTTGAGACATCTTATCCTGGAAGAGACAGAGGGTCTCAGAGGGTCAGGACTGGGTCAGAACATTCACTTCCCTTTAACTCCAGCAAAGGAAAGGGTATAAATTGTAAAGCAACTTCCTGTGTGATCAGAGCAGCTTGGTACCTCATATAAATAACCTGTACGATCAGCGTGGTTCCTCTCACTTCACCTTTCTTCAATAGATTTCTGTTTCTCACTTCCTCAGATGGAATAAGACTCTTGTTTAACATGAAGTATTCCATAACACAGTGCTAAACAGTCCTAAAAGGCATTTTACAAATACTAAACAGAATAACAGTCATTAAGAATAGGAACAAAAACAAGGCCTGACCACCCAACTCACCTAAGATGGCCACCTGGTTTCAAAGGCCTAATTGTTACTCTTCACTCCACCTATATACATTTCCTCTTCCTGGATTTCTTCCTTGTCTCTCCCAGGCCTGTCCCTGGTATGCAATCCTTCACTTTCTCAATCCTTTTAACACTAAAATATGATTATTATTCATTTTTTACTAGTTGTTAATTGTTCAATATGTTGGTTTACTAGAATGTGAAAAAATATTAAAGGACATTATTATATCTGGATAAAGATGTAAAATTCTATTTATTTACTTCACTTGACTGTTCTGCTTGATGTATTTCGGGATGAAATTCCGGGATGAATGGAGGAATTGGGTTATAAATCCAAATAATTTGAAATGTTTGAAAAAAAAAAAAGAAGCTTAAAACAAGCAAAAGTGTCTGAACTGCAGTACTTCATGATAAATGCTTCAAATTCAGTTTGCGAAAGTCTCCAGGATGAGAATAAGCAGATGCCTGATGGAAGAACGCTTTAAAGGGAAGGATAGCTGCTAAAAAGCCATAACTGTGACCTGAAAAGATCCCAAAACAGCTGGAGTACTGGTACTGATGGAGGAACTAAGTAAAAGTCTATATGGGATTCAGGAGATTCAAAGACTGATCACACAAAAGTTTCAGCCAAAGCAAGTCTATGGGAACAGCCAGAAACCAGGTCAGATCACTGGAATAAAGTGGATCTGCTCTTTTTCTTCAAGGAATAAATTATTAACCCACACAAAAAGTTAGGTGAGATGTGTGTCTCGTACACTTATGTTCAGTTGTGTTATGTCCTCATTAAAGTTATGTCAATAAAGAAAATATTAAATCCAAGAACGGTGGATTAAATAGGGGGGACTCAGCCTAACACCACCAGAGTGGCTTTACGAGTTACGCAGGAAGCACGTGTATGAACCCCTTTCGGCCTCCTGTTTCAGTATAAAACTCTTGTGGTCTCTTTGTACCATTTACAATAGTTGGACCCTCTTGGATTTAGACGGGTTGTACAGAAAAACAGACGCGCACAGACTTACCAAGCAGAAGTAATGGACTGACAGCTTGTGTTCTTTGAGTGTAACCTTTTCCCCATATATGGCGGGGTCATCATCGCTGAGTCTGCACAGAGCACAGCCTGGACACAGGATCATCAGACACACATCAGCAAACGTGAAAACTGACGTTTTAGACATTTTGTCTCTTCTTACTTTGCTATACAAACAATTCTAAACTCATGTGATCCCAACTAAACTTTGGGATCACAGAATCTTACAGTTAAAAACACACAAATCGACATAGTATTAACAACAGGTCTTTCACATACTTCTCCTGTAACATTTGAATCGGTCATGCGAGTGTTGCCACTTTTCCTGTTGAAGGATGATTTTATGGAGCTATCGCTGCATTTGTGATTGTTTGGGCATTCCACAAATATACCTGCTGTACCTCTCTGCTCCCATGTGGGAGTAATGTATAGAAAAATATCATGTTGGGCTGCCAGGGAAAGAGCCGCATGAACAGACATCAACAGGATACAATAAACAAGCTTTTAGGCCCCCCCTTAACTACTGATGGGACTAAATAGTGTGCTATGTGCTTATATATTTGAAATGTGAAATCTTGTCATCACACAGAAAACCAACAGTATAATTCATTAAGGCAGAGTTTGAACCAACACCGAGGTCTTTTCCATATGCTCAAATAATGCCATCAGTCTGTGTACACTTTGCACCATCTCTGTCCTCTCAGTATATATTCCGACACTTTTGGATGCAACCCCCTAAATGAGCAGAATGTGGTTCACAATAACAGGAGAGCAACCAGAAAATCCACTGATGTAGTGCTGATATCCAACACAGCAGAGCTCATGTACACAGAATAAAGTGTAGCAGTGAGACATTTGTGGAGTTTCAAAATAAGGGGTTTGTTCACATTTAAATATTATGTGGATACCCAAAACACCAGAATAAAGTTGCCGAGTTTTTCTCCATTAACCATACCCAATTATTCCATTTGTTGGAGGGCTTGTGCTTTTCCCAACAGTCATAGGGTGAGAGATGGAAACGTACAAGTTGTCGGCAAAATGTTTGAATCATCCAGTTTCAATCTGTCTTAGTTCCACTAAATGTAGCAGCCATCCAACTGTGTGCAGAGCGTAGTGAGGGTGAGATATTTGAGCACAGATGTTTAGGTGTGTGTAGAGCACTCACGATCCTCCTTGGTCCTGGAAACGCCACAAACCTGCAACCCCCTCGCCCTCTTCTTCATGCTTGTGTTGATCAAGCCTGTTGGAACAGTGTTCATATTTATTCAGTTTTCAACTCGATAAATCCAAAAAGCTTAAAAGAAGCAATATACAGCGTAGGTGATCAAAAGAAGAAGAAAAAATCACTGTTGGGGCTACCTGTGAGTGCCCAGTTGCCCGCAATATGACGCAGACTCAGCATACCCAAGATTTCTGTTTTGTCAGTTGTCTGAGCTAACAATAATTACAGTTTTTTTTCTACTGTAGTGGCAATCGGCCTAGTTAGTAAATCCAGCTTTTTAGTCTCAAGATATGTACTTGTTTAAATAAATAAATCAATGTGAGCAATGAAATGGCACAGTAAGAAAAAAACAACAGGTTAAAATTATTGAAAACTTATTCCAGAGAGCAGAGAGAGGAAGCCAGTTACTTTGTTCTTTTAGGTATGCGTGTTGTTTACACGATACGTCTTGGTATGCTTATTCAGGACATTGTTACAACGCTTTATGCAGCTGTCACTCAGTTAAAAGTGCTGATAAAGCCCACAACTTCAGCAGTTTAACTCATCTCAAAGCTTGTCTTTCAAACATTAAATCATGGATTGCCCAAACTTGGCTTTTCTGTCTTTTTCATTCCATCTATATATCCAGTTGTAGGGTCACGGGGAGATGCAGCCTATCCCTGCTGACCACGACTTAGAGGTATTAAAACTGGAAAGGACGCCAGTCCATAGCAGGGCCGCACAGAGACACACAACCACCCACACACTCACACTGGGGCAATTTGGAGTGTCCAGTTGGAAAGTCTTTGTTAGGTCTGTCAATACGTTTAAATCTCTTGGAGTTTTCTACATAGTTCAAAGCTTTTGGTAATGATCAATACATTCATCATACAATTCTTCATTGAATTCAGCTTGACTCAATTCTGTACAGTTGTTAAAAACACCATATATTTCAAAATGTTAAATATTGTGTTAAATTCATTGTTTAACTTCAACTAAATTAAATACTTTTGTCATCATTTCAATTTCAAAATACAAACAGATAAAATGCTATCTCTTTAAATGTTTAATAGACTAATCAGGAGTACTACTCCATCATCAAGACATTGCTAGATCTTATTAGAAATTCCAGTTGTGTTTGTGATTAATTTGTTAACTTATTACCTCAACATGTCTTAATTCGATGTAAGTTAGTGTTTTCCAATGGGGATTGTTTCCTTATGCTCTTTGTAACATTATTTTCAGATAATTTTAGATCAAGAAGTTTTCTACCATGTATAGACCTCTTGTTCCAGTGTCACCTTTGTGTCACCCAAACTGCTGTTGCTATTCAACTCCATAATGCCCCATTCTTTTTAACCCATGTAATTTTATTGATATATATTTTCTCTTTTTCTGATGATTATCAGCTATTTCAGGACAACCAGCAGTCTTTCGTATTCGTTTTGTGTTAAAATTCTATTTAAGAATTCATTCTCATATTTTAGAAGCTGTGTTGTGTCAAACTACTTTTTATATTTAATTATTTAATGAAAAATAGCTTCAAGAGGAGTCAAACAGTCATCTGGGTTAATGAAGATTGTTTTATATACAAAAAAATCATTATTCCTTAAGGTTCATTGTCATTATTATTATACAGAACATTATTATTATTATTCCTAACTCAAAGGTTTTTTCTTATGTTGTTTTAGAGCAAAAAAATTATTTTTGTAAAAATGTATAATGCTGAGAATGCCCAGAATTTTTCATAATCGGCTTCTGTGCAGCTCTGGGCCGTCAGTGGTTTCAGGGTTTTATAGAGCTCCAGTCAAAACAAAGGGTCAGCTGGGCTCTTATGAGCGTTAATAATGCTCATTATCAGTTGTGTTTTTTTTTAATCACTCTGGATATCTGTACATACACGTAAATTTACGAAAGACCCGTTAACGACGAGGCAAAGTGAAGCCAAATATGAACATGGATTATATCAGCCGTGGACACCAGAGTGCTTTAAACCATATTGCGATTCGTTTCTGGAAAATTCTGCTAAATTTCTAAAGGTCAGAAAAGACAACAAGCGGACATAACTAAAAATAGAGAAAAACACTGACTGGTCAACCTACTTTAGACTCGGGAGTCAGTTTATGGTCATTGTTCAGTCTTCTCTTGTAAATCTGCCCCGCTCCTTCGTCTGTTTACTTTGAACGCAATCCACTTTTTAAATTTCCCTCTTACAAAACAAAAACACGTCACTTCCGTTTCCGCTTGTCGAGCCCCCCGCCCCCGTCCCCCCTCCCTTGTTTCTGTCACTTTACGTTTTTATTTTAGACTAATAAATTATTTATTTTTTTATTATTTCTAACTTGTAGGAATATTCTGTCCATCAGAGTCCCTTAAAATATCTTTAAATAAAAAAAAAAAATTGTTGTCAGTTCCTGTGTATAATATCGTCCCTGCTGTCCCGTCTTACCCCTAACATTGACATGTTTAGCTAACCAGCATAGACAAAGAGTCACATCTGAGAACCCAATCCCTTCGAAATGTCAGAATTATAACTGTTTAAATAAGTTGTCGTTATTTTTCCTCAGTTCTCTTAACAGATTCACTCTGGTTTGATGCGTTTACAGACCCCAGTCCGACAGACAGGGGGCGACTCTGACCCAGCTGTGCTATTTCTGTAACCGTGTCCTTTAAAATCCTGGGCCATGTGGATTATTGAACCACAAAGACAAACGGAAAACTTTGTTATCGGTCTGTAAAGATGAGTAGGCTACGTTATTTGTGGAACGTCCGTCCATTTATTTGCCAAACAGACAAACAACCACACGCTCAGATTCAGTCCTAGGGGCAATTTTAGATGTCCACTTAACCTAAAATGCATGTTTGTTTGTTTGTTTGTTTGTTTGTGTTTTGGATGATTGGAGGAAATCCAATTTCTGGAACACTTGGACTTAAAATATATAAGTTTCAACTCCACAGGAAATTTGTCAAGACTTTTCAGATTACATCTGTCATTTCTTTGATAATTGAATTGAATGAATGTTTTGAAATAAATCAACTCCTTATCCATAGTTCAGTTGTTGTTACTGTGATACACTCACACACACACTCTCACTACTGGTACTGCAACACACTTCTGAGGTAAAGTGCTTTTGCATCCAAAATCAGAGTGGTCTACACACTACAAGTTGTGTAAAAAAATATTTAAGTAGTTATCCCTCATACAGCTGATTAATGTTTCCATTAAAATTTCATGTGCTTTTTAAATGTGACCCTTTACTTTTTTGTTTTTTGTGGAATTCCTTAAAGTTTTATGTTATTTCCAATCATTTGGGTGACAAACTGTGGGGAATTTCTTGCAAGGCTTTAAATCCCAAGTAGTTGAAGAGTCATGAAAACATGCAGCCTACTTCTGGGTCTCATGGGAAAAAAAGTTTGCTCCACCTCAGTGGGCACGGGCTTCTTTTTTTAATCTATAAACCTTAAACATTTGGAATTGCTGTCACAAAACACTTTAAATGAATAAAATTATAGTCATAAAGGAAGAGTCACAGTCATTTCTGACAGTCAAATATTGTCAGTTCACGTTAAAAAAATAAAATAAACTGACATAACCTCTGTGGATTTTCCAGGGACTCAGCTGCATGTTTTTTTTATTTCAACCGGGCATCCTGGAGCCGGGTAACCTGATCCAAAAACAGAGCCATGTTCTGGACTTTGGTTTTCCCAGGAAACACAGGGAAGGTCCACATTGGGATATAAACACTTATGATACCCCACACACATCAATACACACACACACACCCTCCCCCACCCCACACACCCTCACACACACACACACACACAGGCGCGCCGGTGTTAGGTAATGTTCAGGGAAACAGCGGCGTCACGGGGGAAGGGCGGTGTCCGCAGGTATACCCACATCAGCAACACAGCCAGCTCTGTGTCCAGACCACAGAATAGAGACTATATCACAGAGGTGCGACGCTCCAAACTCGGACGGGACTGAGCGAGAGAGAGGGGAGGAGAAGAAGGAAGGACGCGACGCATCTGCGCGATTTTTTGGGGAAACGTCGAAAAAACAGGGAAGTTGGACACCCGTGCGCCGCGGTGTGCGTCAGGAAGCATGTTCAGCTGGGTCAGACAGGAGCACGGCGGCCGCAACAAGGAAGGAGAGATGTACCAGACGGTGACCGAGGGGCTGCAGAGCCTGTACACCAAGAAGCTGCTGCCGCTGGAGGAGACCTATCTCTTCCACGACTTCCACTCCCCTGCCCTGGAGGGCGCCGATTTCCAGAGCAAGCCCATGGTGCTGCTGGTGGGCCAGTACTCCACCGGGAAGACCACCTTCATCAGGTAGCTGACCATGAGCAAGGGCATGGCGCAGTTGGTGCGCATTTGGCGAGTTATTTCCGTGCGCGCACCCTGTTGGAAATGCGTAATATTAGCTCCTCTGACCAATGACCCTAGGTGTAACCTCTAAGGATGTGAAACTCTTAATTTAAGTCTCTCCTGCCTCTGTTTACCAGCTGATTTGACAGGATTTGGAAGTTTTGTCTTGTAGGAAACCTGAAGATGATCGCCATCATTTAAGACATGTTAGTCTCGCCTTGTTGCGTTTGTTGTTGTATTCTAATAAAAAAAAGCGGGGAAAAACACTTTTTATGATATCGATTAAAGCCCTAAAACTAACATAGGTCGTTAACGCATATTTTAGGGATTTTTCGCTTAAAAGAATAGTCGTTCTCTGCTAAAAACGACTGAGACGTCATTCTGTCTTGTCAGGTTACGTCACAAATTACCCCTCTGTCCCCCCTCTGCTGTTCTGACTTGAAACACCTGACATGAGACTGCATCAGGGGAAAAAAACTTCAAATACATTCTGATCCTAAACCATTTATGTGGCAAAGGAAAATAAACATTATACAGCCAGTGTTGAGGGATCATTGTATTCATGGTCTTTCACTTTTTTAAGTCATGTCACTCTTTTTTGAGAGTTTACTCCAGATTTTGCATAGCATAGGGCTTAATTCTAAATGAGCATTACGTTGTTGGGAAAAATTAAATGAAATTGTAAGCATCCCATGTACTGTACCTTAACTTAGTGTTTGAAAATGGGGTCTTTGATTTCCAAAGTGGGATTTCTTTATCCAGGACTTTGACCCTCTTCATACGCCCTCCATCAGAATCAGAAACATTGTGTCCGCTTTAACTGCGATTGCTGTAAAAGGTGATCCAGCAAGAAGTTTGAAAGTAACTGCCAGAAAATGGAGGAAAAGTCAGGTCTAAGTGACAGGATTCCTTCTTTTTTTTAAGACGATTCCTCCTATAAAAAATGTTCCAGTGCTTCGTTGTTTGCACTTTAGCACAAGTGATCTGCCAATCCAGCTGGATGTGAGGATGGTTTATTGGGTAAAAGTGCTCTGAGAGGTACATTATTATCTCTGTCAGATAGTTCAAATGGCCCAAAAAGCCACAAGCTTAAAAATAATCCTGCAATAGTCCTGTCTTGTTAAAAAAACACTGAGGTCTGGACTTTTAATGGACCATTGCAGCACCTTGATTCCTCTGGTTTTAATTTTCGTTGCTGTGTTTGGTATCATTGTCTGGTTGAAAATGAGACCTCACATCTGAATGTGAATACTTTGGTATGCAGAGGAGTTCATGGTGGACTCATGTGCTATAGTTGGTGTGCTATATAGTTTTCATTCTGACCAAACAGCTTCACTTTGGTCTAAGGACATTATTCCTGAAGCTTTCTTCTTTGTTTGAAACCAAAGTCATGGTCATGTTGTTGTTTTTTCTCAACATGGGTTTTTTGTTCATTTGTTTGGGTTTTCCTTGCTGATACTAACCCTCTTCATTTACATGGAAGTGATAAGAGTGGATGTGGTCTTTTCACTGTTTATCCGAGTTAGATTTTCCCTGAATGTAATCTGATAATCCTTCTTCACCCCCTAATCTCTCAAATCTTACATTTCAAAGAGGTAAGGCATTTTTTGCCATTTTAAAGATGCAACTTTCCGATTCAAAGTGACCTGGTAATAATAAATGCCGACTAGCAGATGTGTCATTCTGACACCCTCTGATGGTCTCTTAACTGACCATACTTTCGGCATCTCCTACGTGTGGAGTGTGTGGAGGTGTTTGTCTGTCTGAATTCATACACTTATCTGATGGTCCAGACAGGCTGTGGCTTTGTGTGCCCCATGTTATTCTACAAAACATGTCATCCGTTTCAGTCAGACCCGGATAAAACCAAACCCTTGCCTGCTGAAAGACAAACAGCCCACCTGTTATTTTGAGTTGAGTAGCCCCACATTGCATTTTCAGCCTGAGAAGAAATGATATAATGGTTGTCTGAAACAGAACTGAGGTGTTAATTGAAGATTTATCTGTCACACTGAACCAGTAGGCGATAACTTAGTTATTTATATCTGATGAATAGCACAACACTGACAAACGTTGTAATTTTGTGTGCAATGATCCAGATTCTGCATGACACAAGCATGTTTCATCAGTTTGATGACAGGAATCTACCCCTGAGCACAGGGAGAAATGATTATGACTTAAAGCTTCGTTTCACTAATGTATCCCCTATCCTTAAGAATGTATTTATTAGGATGAAATGTGTTGATTATTAATCATATACTACCGTAAAGCACAACGATATTCCCTTGGAGATTATCACAAAAGTTACTGTTCACTGTTGACGTTATTGACACTTTAAAGGTTCACAAGCATCTCTACCGTAGCTTTAACAATGGACAACGTCAGTCTTCCCTTATATCCTGTAAATCCGTCTTCAGTGGAAACAATCATTACACCAAAACGAAGATCTGCTGATGAGCCCTGAGATCGTTGTGAGGCCCTTAATGTGAACATCCCCAACCCCCAACCGGCCGAGGCAGATGGCCGCCCACCCTGACACATGGTTCTGCTCGAGGTTTCTGCCTGTTAAAAGGAAGTTTTTCCTTGCCTGTTTCGCCTAGTGCTTGCTCATGGTGGGAATTGTTGGGTTTCTGTAATTAACTTCAGAGTAGGGTCTGACCTGCTCTGTTTGGAAAGCGCTGTGAGACAACTGTTGTTGTGATGTGGCGCTATATAAATAAAATTTAATTGAAAAACGTGTGAGACTGCAACTGATCAGAGATGGTATGTTCCAGAATATTAGTATTGAGCCCAAACGGGTGACTGCCCATCTGCTGCCAGGTCACATTGTAAGTAAGTCACATCGGACTACTAAGAGTGACTACTAAGAGTCCCACACAGCTCTCACGGTGCTGACACACAGCTTTGTGGGTGTGGGTGCACATGTTTAACAGAAAACATCCAAGGTTTTGGCAGCAAACAAACTGAGCAGATCGGACCTGCTGGTAGTTTAGCCGTGATGTGTTTGTGTGTTCTTGTTTTTTTTTTTGTCCCGTTCGTCAGGACCTTTGGTCTGACTCAGGACCACACGTCGTGATTAAGGTTAAAGCCAAAGTGTGAATGGAGGCCGCGTTAGACGTGGGGTCAAGCAGTTCACACCAAATTAAAGACAATGGAAGGTTTCTAATGGCTACATGGGTTTTTGGTGTGTTTATGTGTAAAACAGGGGGGAAACTGCTGAGGCCCACCCTGCCCTGAGGAATGCTCTGAATAATTTGGACTTCTTGCCAGTAACTGCACTGTCAGTTCTACTGCTTCCTCTCTCCTCTACATCTGCCTCTGCTGGGTGATCTTTGAATGGCCGCTGGGTCACTCACTCTTAACCCTTTACAGCCTGATCCAAGAAAAATGGGAAGAATATTGGATTCTTTTAGTCTGAAGTCTTTCTTTGGCCCCTCAACAACATATGAAGAAAAAAAACCTGAAATTATTTTGATCAAATTAGCGTGCAATAAGTCAAAAATATATTTTCGAGTGGTCTTCTACTGTTATCAGGTATATCTGAATGTGTACAACAGGGGTTTGAGCAAAGCTTATACCATTGAATGATGCAAAAAGTCTCAGATCCAAAAGACTTCAGAAACCGTATGTATCAAATATGATACATTAGGCATTATAGGGTTAGAGACTGATTATTTCATGGTTTGGAAATGTATAGAGTGTCATATGTAAATCAGACGCTCGCAGCCACCTGTGTAAACCTGTGTCAGTTAGCATCAACCAGTGTCAGCATGCCGCAGCATATTCTGCCCTCTGGCAGCATTGCACAACGGTCTGGTTCTACCACTAAACCGTTCAGCCTCTATACGCGTAACATGTGAAAGTTATGAAAAATGTTCATTTGAAATGTTGAGCAGCACCAGAAATTGGTTGAATCACCTTGTTGTGGACGCAAGGGAAATTCAGAAACAGCCTGCTTCAGTTTCCTTTTTCTACTCGGAGGAGATAGTTGCACTTGTGCACTAGTGAAGTTTCAGTGTCACAAAAAAAACTTTACGGTAATTTAAAAAAACGTTTTAGATATTCGGAATTCGTCAGTTGTTTGACTTCAGTGAAGTTCTGTAAAGTTAGTATAAGATGTTGAGCCTCTATTGTGAGAAAATAACCATCATAAGGTAGCCGACCAACTGTCCAGCAAGACCAGGCTAAATTTTTCACCATGTGACCCGAAAACTGCTGTGTGTGGTCAGATTTAGGCAGCATTACCATGCTTCTTATCGGTGCTTCTGGTGGCAAATGATACAAACCATATGAGGTGTTCTGGCCTTTAGTTGTTGTCAGGGGTCTATTGCACATTCCCAGTCTGACCTAAAACTTTATCCGAGTGTGTAATATACTGCTTTTAGAAACTTGCATCAGATCCTTACGTGCAGTCTTATCCCGCTTATTATTGAGGGTATTCTTTGTTGGTCATTCCACAGCAAAAGCTTTCATTAGATAACTGTTATTATTGGGATTCGGCAAGCAGCTCTGACAATTTAGGTCTGTTCGAATAGGTCCATGTTAAATACCAGCAGCTGTAATAAAGACGACACATGGTAGAACCTTTTTTTGTATTGTAATTTGTGTATTATCATGGCTAAACAAAGTAATCATACCAAACATTTGAAATAAATCAATTATGTTTAAACATAATGTAATGGAAAACTCAGAAAGACAATGAAAAAATAGACAAAGCAAAGAGCCCACAGTTCTTGCCTGACTGAGCGATCAGTGCGTTATAAACACCGAAGGTAATGCTGGTAATTGCTCCTCGGTTTAAAGCGCGTGTGACTGAATTAGTCCGCTTTTATCTCAGGGTACTGCGGAGTGCAGTGAACTCAGGACACGCTGCTGTGGGAACATGGGGATGGGGTCACACTGAAATAGACAGAAAGATGTGGAATCGAACCACATCTTATTTATGGCCCGAGCAAAAACTGAAATGATTATCTTTTTTTTTTTAAGGGTAAATGCAATAAGGATTGAAAAGAAAATGGCTAATAAATGTAGAATGGAGCACAGCACAGTGGAGCCACCAGCCTCACCACCAATCCTTCCTTATAGCTTTGGTATAGCTAAGGGTATATGTGAGCATTAAACTAGCTCAGAAGCATCAAACAGAAGGGAGAGTTATTTGCCTCGTCTTCAACCCGAACTGCCGAACCTCTTTGATGTTCACGCTGTGCTATGTGGAAGGAAGTAGGAGACATAGAACTTCCCTCTTAGAAGACGTCTTCCCTATTTTTCTTCCTTACTTCCTTTTCTTTGACAGGGAAAAGTGTGTGAGAGGTTGAGAGGGTCATTTTGAAAGGAAACGGTTTCACTGTGTGCAAACACTGCTCCGGACAGTGTTGCAAAGCTGATCACCAGAAACTTGAGGCTGAAGGTTCATTTTTTGATAGAATGGCTCCTAACTCAATTAAATACTGCTTTAGACATATTGTCTGTCTTGTGCTATTAGTACAAAAAAAGTTTGAAGGGAAGATATGTTTCTATCTTAATTTTCAATAAACATTTAATTGTTATTTATTGCCATTCTTATGATTATTCATCTGCTGTCATGTGGTCATGTGACAAACAAAACAGGACTGGAGTGAGATTGCGTGTATCTGTGTTTCCTACCAGAATAACACCAAGCCCCAGATGCTCTTAACCCATTTGAGAAGGTGTTTTTTTTCAGTTAAGTGGTTCCCGGTCCAAACTTTGTGAGAAACAACTAAATCCCGCATGTCTTTTTGTTCCCTCAGGTACCTGCTGGAGCAGGATTTCCCCGGGATGCGCATTGGCCCAGAGCCGACCACCGACGGCTTCATAGCTGTAATGTATGGGGAAAATGAAGGGGTTGTCCCGGGCAATGCTCTGGTGGTGGACCCCAAGAAGCCATTTAGGAAACTCAATGCATTTGGAAACTCTTTCCTCAACAGGTAAAAACAAAACTCTACTAATACAATAGTGGGATAAGATTGTGATAGTCCAAATCAGTCAGCTTGTCACTAAATCCAAATATTTGAACTGTTGTTTATTTATATATATATTGTATTACGTCATGTGTACTTTGTTTTTGCTGTTATAATGTTAGGTTTTGGTACTGGGGGTTTTCTCACACCGTTTATCAGCCAAATCAGTTGATAAACTTCAAACGTTAAGACCCAAAAACTTGTGCATAGTTCTTCAGGTGATGGATTTTAGGTTGTATCTTTTCATGTGAAAAGAGACTGGAAATCTATCCAGGGTATAGAAAATGGTGTATGTTATAAGATACAAACCGGCAGGTGATGGTGCAGTTCCAGCTCTACAGCTAGATCCACATAGAGGGTCAAGATAGTGGCCGTGTTGTGTGTTGCTGTACTGTGGGTTACAGACCCTTTAGATTCCATGTTATTATTTAGAATTTTACGCTCCTTTGGATAAATTAGAAAGACTGTAAGAGTAGCCAACCGGGGTTTCCAATGAGAACTCTGAGTCCAACACTTCCAAAGCATTACATCTAGGTACCAGATGGAGGAAGCTGACTTGATTTTAGTTGCCCCGTATCATCAGTTTTACAAACAAACCTTCTCTTATTTTTGGCAACCATAGCTGTTGCACATAAGGAAACAGTGGCCCCTCCTTCCAGTCCTGTCATTGCTTTCCTCAAAGCATTTTCAATGTGGAAAGTGACCCCCATCACCCCACGATGACATGTAAACACACACACCCACACACTGGGAACTGTCAGATTCCAGACACTTCAGAGCTCGGTCTGTAATTTAAATTTAGTTCGAAAACCAACCTGGCTCCAAGCCCATTTCCTCTGTCCCTCTGTCCAGTCAGGAAATGGAAGGACGGCCAACCTTCTGTCAGTGTGTGTAGATATGTAACAAATTTCATCTTGCCTTTAACCAGTGTAGAAACCCTCAACAATAAGTTATTGTTTCCAGGGGGGATGTGTGTGTGCGTCACCGTGTGTCAGCTTGCTGGCTTTGTTTTTTCCCACTGCCATTCTTCGATTCCGGCATAGTGAGATGATTTAGTAGTCTGTTGGTCAAGGGTTATCACTAGAGGAAGTGTTGAGTTTTTGACTACTAGGATCAAATAAAAGAACATTTCTTAAAATAAAGAAAACTCCTCAGATTAACAAAAACATGCAATATTACATAGTTATTACTTAGAGAAACTTAGAGCAAAGGTTTAACCTTAACGCTAAAGCCAAAGAACCCAAACAAGGATCAGTACATCAGAAGAGCACTCAATGATTATAGGTATTGCAGGTACAGTTACAGGTTTTACTCATTTATAGATATTGAATTAATATTTTAAAAGGAAATACAGTAAGCAGTGTGTTTCCACCTTTTTTACTTCTTTTTGTAATGGATGCCCGTTTTTGCAATGAAGTGGAACAGTTTGGTGTTATGTTTTTAGGTAATTTCTATACAGCAATGGGACATTGTGCATAGACAGACATGAAAGTGCAAAATATTACCAGCTCAATTACACACTCTTTGTTTATTATGACACCCTTACTTGTTATTACACACTTGCTGGGCATTGTTACATGCTCGATGCACTTTGGTACATAGTAATGCATGTTATTACACCCTCGCAGTGCTTTATGATAGACTACGCGCTTTGTTACATGTTATTTACATACTCAATGCATGTTATGAAACACTCACTTCTAGTTATTATATGATTGCTGCGCTTAATTTACATGTCTGATACGTATTATAACCCCCTTTATGCATGTGATTACGCAATTTTGGTGTGTAATGAGGAGAATAATTTGGTGACATGCTGTGTGGATTTTGATTTCAGATTTGAGTTGTGTTGTTTTATTCATTTGAGAGATAATTTTGTATGGTTCTGGCCCACCAGCACCAGCACCCAAACTAAAGGCCTCCAAGTTGAGGGTAACAGTTTATTGTAACCACCCCTGAATTTCATCTCAATGTATTTTCCCTCTTTGCAGTGGTGTGATAGCACACAACTAATTCATCATGTCGAGGAGTAACTGAAATTAAAGAAGGAATTTTCACAGTTTTGTGTGTGTGATTTTGTGGGTGTGTTCAGGTTCATCTGCTCCCAGATGCCCAATCAGGTTCTTCAGAGTATCAGCATCATCGACACTCCTGGTATCCTGTCTGGAGAGAAGCAAAGAATCAGCAGAGGTATGGTGTGTGTGTGTGTGCACGTGAGTGTGCGTGTGAGTGTGTGCTTCCATGGTATTTTCTTTGAATATCATGGGCGGAATTTCACAAAATTTTCATGCATATTACAGCTTCTGTAATAGTTGGTTTTGTGATGGTAAAATATTCTTCAGAAATTCTTCATCTCTCTTTTCACATCCTACTTTGTGTCTGTCTCTTTCCTTTAATGCTGATCTGAAACTGCTTAGAATTTAAATGCAGATATGAAACTGTGGCTATGATTGAAAAAATCAATGCAAGAACACTCAGTGAAATTTCACAATACTGAACTGTTAAAAGTGGGAGTCTGGTTGAATCTAGCATCTGTGATGAAAATGTGTCATAGTTTCAGGTTCCTTTCTGTACGATAAAAGCTGACTTTTGCAGTTTTCAACAACATCTTTGTATCAAAACATTTCGAAAGATTTTATGCAAATGAGAATGTTTCCTTTAAAAAGCATCTCTTCTGCTCTAGATGAGTCAGTGCGGTTGAATCTCTTGCAAGATTGCAACTGGAAGTTGAAACTTGATGACCGAGTTCACCGAGAAAAGCTGTGGAACTTAAAAGAAATACACCAAAAAACACAACCTAGAAATTTGAAGGGACGAACCGAATGAAATGCTTAAAGTTTATGTGACACAGCTTGATTATACGTCAACCCCATGTTTGTGTTCATAATTCCGTGGGCTGTTTATTGAGTTACATGTTTGACGTTTGTAAGAATAGGATTTGATCCTCAGCCATGCACATATATATAATCAGAATGATTGCCAGGGGCTATACTTTGTTGATCCTTAAACCTTTACCAGAGCTGCTGTGAAATCACAGATGAGCAAGGTTGGAAACCAATCAGTAGATCCTTTTTGGGCTTTAGCTGTGACACAATCAGTCTGTTGCTTCATGAATTATTTATCTTTGAGAGAAACTGCGTTTGCGACACTTCAGCCTTTGGTGATTCCCACAGTTTGGAGTCATTAGTAAAAGGATTCTACAATGACTTGTTGGGCGTGGAGTCACAGTTACTGCCGTTTAATTCAAACCACGCTGTGAGCATCTAAATATGAGGGAAATGTGTTGGAAAATTGTGTGCAGCTGTTAGGGAAAACGTCTTGTTTTTTGCAGTTCCCTTCATAAAGTCCCATTTTTCATAGTAACTAGTTTTACACAAGTTACACAATACGTAATTGTCCTGTGAGGTGTTCTGATTATAGTAGCCCTACCAAGAAATCAAATTTAATAAAAAAGGGAAAAAATGTCTTTCCCATTAAAGACTATGGGATGTCACACTAGTGCATACCTGAGTATTGGAAGCAGAGTGAAGGATAAACACTTCCAACAGGCTGGGAATTTAACCCTTTAAAGCCTGATCAAAGAATAAATACATTTTTAATATTAATTAATTAAGATTATCTTTTGTGTAGTCATCTGCCCCCTGTTATCAGGTGTATATGATTGTGTACAATAGGATTTTGAGCAAAGTTTTTACCATTAAATTATGCAAAAAGGAGTCAGACGCAAAACATTTCAGAAACCGTATGTATCAAATATGATACATTTTGCATTACAGGGTTAAATTTCTGCACACTATTGTGGCAACTACCTTGCCACCGGATCACCCCAAGTTGCTGCAAATCCAGACAACATTGTGCACATGCAGCAGAGAGGGCTATATGGTTTATTTCTGCTCAGTATTTTTCCCAAAACTGAAATTCTACTAGAACCAACTAGGGGAACCAGCTGTGACCCCGTTGCCCTGCATGGAGTCAGCCTGGATAAGGGAAAGTATTATTCCAATTCCTTCAGCTGGGCTGAGCTGGTGGAGGAGAAAAAAAGATGGATGAAGCAGAGGGAGGGACGGAGGGCCACGGGAAGTACGGGACCTCCCTCCATCTGTTAGTGTTTAGCGTTGCTCAGCTGAGGAAAAAAATTCCTCCCGAGAACGTTTGACAGACCGGCTGCTATTCGACAAAAAGGCCTGCAGGGGCAGCATCTCTGAGGGCTAAATCTCCACAACACAGAGGCTGACCGTTCAGGCAGATGACCTCAGGGAACTTTCCAGTGATTCCGTCACCTTAAGCATTTTTTTTTGGGACTCAGAGTTCTCAATTTGAGTCGTTGGCAGTCGCTTTTTAACAAGCATGATTTGTTTATTTTGCTGTGCTGCACATAAAATGGGTACTGAAAACTAAATGGCGAATTTTTTTGCAATCTGATTAATGATTGTGTTGTTGATTTTTGTTAACTCTTCTTGCGACAGACACCATTGCTCTCAGACCGACTTGTTTGATCAAATTCTGTTTGCAGTTCACGCCTACCTGAGTTTGCACAGTAATGTAATGTTATCCTCATTAGTTTCCCAAAAGCCCTAGCCAACCATCGCATCCTTTTTTTTTTTCTGGTTTGTTTGATACGATCCTGCTATTTGCAGCGAGGCTAAAGCTGAAAACTTTTTAGTGCACTTTAATGTTTTATACAAGTTTCCATCCAGGAAATGGATGGAAGCAGTTTCTCAGTTTAATTTCTGAAATTTCAACACACAGGGCCAGAGAATGGAGTGTGTATGATTGAGGGTTGTGTCATATGGAAACATCACAGTTGCACGTTCAGCAGAGCGGCTAGCTGGAACTTGTCTGCAGGGTGGAGCTGCTGTTTGTCCACTGGGATTTCCTCCAAAATGTTCATGTTGATTTTCTGCCATGTTAATGTCAGAAGGGGGTGTCTGGCTGTATTACAGGCTTTGCAAACATTTCGTACCTACTACCAATTTTTTGATGCGCCCATAGCTCTGTATTAGCCTTTTTGGAGATATCAAACGGACCAACTGAGGCCTCTGCCTTTTCTTAAATACCCACTTTACCGTCTGGGCCTGGTTTTGCAATTGGCACTTTTTTATAGCTTTGTAAATGTAAAACTATTCCATTTCTGCATTTGTTACTTGCATTACACAAATGCTACCAAGCCAAATTCCCTGAATCAACTTGGAATCACTCTTTTTGCATACTTTTTTTTTCTGTGTCCTGTAATAAGGGATCTGTCCAGACCTAAGTTGATACATTAGCGTAGAGTTGGTGCTTGGATACAAGGCTGGGGTGTGTGTACCACCATGTAACAGTGTGCAACACTGTCTAAGCCTCCATTTGAATCATTTTAATTTTTTCTTTTTTTTAGATTTGAGGGTATTCGATTGCATATTTACCATATCTGCCCTCAGGTTTTAAACGATGAAAGAGATTCATTCAGCTATATCATGCCGACACCGTTGAAGATGTCAGACTTGTGTAGTTCTGTCCGAATATTACATGTATTAATTACAGACATGTTGTTTACCCACAGAGATTATATGATTATATGACAGATTTGCCCAAAATGTAATTTACTGTGCTTTAGCACAGGTGTATTTTCCTTACCACAGCTGAGAAAGTGTGAGACTGCTAATGGCTGCTTACATGTAGTCGTCACTTTGTTGTTTTGAGGTTATTATAAAATTTTCCTCTCATGTGACACAGGCAGAGGGGGGTGGAAAAGAACGTCTTCTCTGTTCTTGTTAGTGCATGTCGTTGAAAAGGAGCCCAGGTTAATGCAACGGTTCTTTAAAAAATGTATGTAACGAAACAAAGAATTGTTTGTGCTCTCATAAGATCGAAACCCCATCAAAGTTATTGCCATTTATCCATAGTTCTTGAGTAGGGAAATATTAATGTCTGAACCCTCCCGACACAACATTCCAGCAAGTTAAAAAAAAATACTTAATTTAATCTCAAGGTTGAACTCCTGGGACACAAAAACACCGTGTTAAAGCATTTCAGGGGAAGTAGTATTGTTAGACTGAGGGTGTTTCCCCTTTTCAAGGAAATGGAACCTATGAAGTAATCAACTGCCTCGTTAAAGGCCCTGCAGACAAAAGTAGAGCTCATATCAGAGGAATTTCCTTGCTTTCAGCACGCATGAGGTTTTTCTCAGGTGCGTTTACTGACAGTTTTAAAGAGTCTCATAGGTGCTGGAAATTTCCTTCCTGATGACTGTATTTACTGCTCAGCATCATGTGTCCTAGGACAATCCTGAGCCAGCACCTAACGCCACCAATGTAACTTGAATCTTGGGGGCAGGGACTCTTTTTCTGTTGTTCATGCTCATTTATTTATGAATGATTGATTTCAACTGTAAAATCGTATCTTTCCACTGAAGCATTAACTGAAGTATAGATTTCTTTATTTGCTTTATATTTCCCAGATTGCTTTTATTAGCAGACTATCATCAGGGCTTTCTGTGACAAAACTGCAAGAGAGAAAAAGTCCTTAGAGAGGACATAATATTCCCTTCATGATTTTGTGCTACTCTGTCATTATTAGCGATTAAGGTTTGAAGATGAATTTTTCAACAGTCAAGTTTGTGTCTGTGTGGTGATAATGTGAAGGCGTATCATTGTAACATACAGTGGATATACTGTATGTATGGGGCACTTCAGTTGGGTTAGTTTTTAACAACTGGTATGTAACTCTGGATAGTGAAATGTATGGAGGTAAATCAGATAGACTTATTTTTGCAAATAAGAGTGGAAACATGAACAAAATCTCAGTGATTTCTGCAGTTAATTTTATTCTGACCATCCTGACACATCTAATCATCTTCAGCTTCTAATCCCATACTTAAGGCCTTATGGAATTGAAACTAATTGAACTGCCTTCTGAGCACAATTTGTCTTGACAACAGATATCTTCCTTTGTCATGCAGGGGTATAAGGAAGTTAGGTGAGCAGCCACAGTGGGACACAAGTATGATATTTTCTGGAAATGAGGCAGTTGTATGAAGTCAGATTCAGACTTTTAAAGTTTTTGTCTATGTTGAGTCTAGATATATGAGCTCAGTGTTACCCATTACAGAGGTGCCACACCCAAACACCCACATATCACTTTACACAGTTAAAAACATGCAGCGCTCACACATTTGAAAGGCATAAGAGATCAGCAGTCATGTCCTTGGAGCCTGTTCTGGTGTGTACACACCAGACAAAAACCTGTATTTATGTATGCTCTGGCCATTTTGAACAGATGCAACTCAGAGGAAATTTCCGAACTGTTAAATCAGGCCAAATAAATGTTACCAAGGCGATTTCATGTATATTTACCCTTGGTTTGCTCAGTACTATAAAATATGGATAAAGTGACACACGTGGATCCCCTGCTGTCCATCAGACGTGTAAAACCAATTTATCCAAGATTTTATGTCAGGAAATATTTTTTTCTGGAATGTAAAATGAGCAATACTAACATTGGAATATTGTTCACTCTCATTGCAATTAGTGTGCTATGCATTAAATTCTAAAAGCAGTCAAAGCTGAAAATATGTCATGTCATACTGGGTTGAATGGCAATTTAACTGTTACTCTTTTTTAATGTATTGGTTTTTTATGTTGAACAAAAAAAAGAGCAATCATTCAACTCACCTTGCAGAAATGCCCTTTGGACTCCCACCTTACTCTCTCAAATCTCCATCAAAAGCCTTCACAATGATCCTCATCCTCTTATCTATGCGTCACCAGGTTATGACTTTGCGGAAGTCCTGCGTTGGTTTGGAGAGCGGGTGGACCGTATCATCCTCCTGTTCGACGCCCATAAGCTGGACATCTCCGACGAGTTCTCGGAGGCCATCAAAGCTTTTAAGGGCCAAGACGACAAGATCCGAGTGGTCCTCAACAAGGCCGACCAGGTAGGAACACGTGGCACTATTCCTGTCAGTAATGGAAACCTCAACACACATGTGTCATTGTAACCTGCTTCTCACCTGACCTTAGGTGGACACACAGCAGCTGATGAGGGTGTATGGTGCCCTCATGTGGTCACTCGGAAAGGTGATCAACACTCCGGAGGTGGTGAGGGTTTACCTGGGATCGTTTTGGGCGAAACCTCTGCAGAACACAGAGAATAGGTCAGAATTCACACACTGTGTCACTCATTCATGCATTCTTAAACCAGAAAGCAATTTGAAGCCATTGAAAGACTGTTTGAATCAGTGTTCCTTCTAAAGACTGAGACTTCCACAGAAAGTAGACCTGCTCAGCCAGTCCCAACTTCACCAACTTTTTTTAATTCACTCCTTACAATTTGTCATTTTATTTGATTCGCGCTTCGTATTCCTGCAGGCGTCTTTTTGAGGCCGAGTCACAGGATCTTTTCCGGGACATCCAGAGTCTTCCCAGGAATGCAGCCCTGCGTAAACTCAATGACCTCATTAAGAGAGCCAGGCTGGCCAAGGTAAGTCAGGAAGAGTTAACATTCAAACAAGCACAGGAATGTTATGGAATTCATAACAAAGCATCCAAAGAACAACAAAAAGTTTGATCACACTGCACATCAGAAGATATTTCTCACTGTATTTTATGACATTTGGTGTTGTTTAAGGGTTTTATTTCATAAGAATTTCATCTTGCAGTATTCTTTCTCCTTAGAAACTGGGGGCTTGAGTGGTGTGAGGGGAGGAATTCAAATATGTCGTCATACAGTTAAAGCCCACAACACAATCGGATTGACAATCAGTGACGTGTTTTAAGGTCTGCTGTACGACTGCAGGACCCTTCAGGGCGGAGCAGCAAATATGTTGGATAGACGAGACATGCAGATCTTGTTGATTCTAAAGCTGTGTGTTTAAATTCAAACTGAACTAAAGTCGCAGGACAGAATTGTGATCTCGGGAAAGGCTTGTTTTTTTGGTACGTGAGGACAAAGAGTCTGGTTTATTTGAAGCTTTCATGGGGCTGTTCAAGTCTAAGTGGTGATGTGTTGTGTTAAGACCAATTGTTATAACTGAGAACGTTGTTATATCTAACTAGGAAGCAAGTGACTGTGCATTCTGTAGGGGTTAATGACTTACCGTCTACATTTATGAACAAGAGTGTGTCAGATGAGCAAGACCTGTATATTCTAATGAAGCCTTATTAACTACATTGCTCCTGCTACTGGAGCTGCAGTTTACAAAGGGTGTATAAAACATGCTTTTCATGTCTGTCTAGACTTAGTGTGTGTATTAGGTGCAGCAGGAGACGATTTGCAAGAAAATAGAATTAAACTCAAAATGTGGAGGGATGCCAGTAGTTCAGGTGTTTGAGCGGAATGTGCTCACAGTGAGCCCACGTTTTAGTGCACAGCACCCTCCTTTCCATTCACTTTCCTCCCCCTACACTGATAAACAGACCACTTGGGGCACATCCTGATATGGCGCAGCTAATAATAGTTGTCCAAGTGCTAATGGCTACTTGGATTCTTTAAAAAAAAAAAAGAAAAACAAAACCATTCTTAAAGATGACATGACATCCGTTTATTGTTAGAGGAGTGGAGCTCAGCTCGCTCCGACTCAACCCCAAGTTACGCTCGCAGGTTTATTTTTATTCTTCCTCGAAGAACCAGAGATAAATAACGCCACCGCTCTCTGGCACTGTGTCTTAGAAATCACCGCCGTCAGACCCCTCTGTTCCCCTTCCCTTCCTTCCACCTCCCATTCTGCCTGCGACTGGGACAAGGGTCTGAGGGCTCTCCAGGAGTCGAATACTTTGCTTGACCTGCCATTGTTCAGCCTCCTGCGTCTGCGTCACTGACATCAGCCACTTTTCAAGTTTTTCGTTCTGACTAAACAAATCAATTCCTTTTTTACGTAATGTAAAAATGGTTTTACATTGCAACTATGACCAATTATTACAGTAATTAGAACAACATGGAAATTATTATATGAGAATTATATGAGAAAATTTCATGGAATCTAAAAATGGATAGTATACAGTTATTTACAAAAGTATTTGAGTAAAACCTTTCCTGAAAAAAAAATAGCCTGTACTTTTTCATTGTTAAAAATGAAAAACAACAATGAAAAACAACAATGAAAAACAACACGCAACAACTTTTGGCAGGTTGTAGCTCTGGAGTCTCATCTCTAAAAGTCCTGCCATCCTGGAAGGCTTTCTTAATATGACCAGTGGCCAACATAAAAAGGCAGTTTTCATCCATGCTCAGTTATTGAGATGTAATTGACGCAAATGTTGAACAACATGTTGCCACTCACTTCTCTTTATCTGTCAGGCCACTTCTAAGTTCCATGGGTAGTGAGTTGAGAAAGGGCAATGTTGCCTCCCATGTATTGAGCCCTGATTTTTTTTAAAATCCCAAAACAATGACAGAGAATACTTGATGTATGCGTGAAAAGTTCAGTTAAGTTTGGGCAACTGTCAGACACTAATACAAAGCACTCATACAAAGCAGCAGCTGCAGCAAAGACCCAAGGCATAAGTATAAGATGAAGTCAGGAAGAAGGGAGATAGATAGTACGAGCAAGACATGACAAGAATAAACTTCAGATTGGATTTTACAGCTGGAGAGAGCTCAGAGAGAAAGCAAGATGTCGGGCAGATGTGGCTTTTAGTGAGTAAAAAATGCTTTACTCCTTTTCTGTTATGCTCTCATATAATGAAATTAATTACACATATTTTACTCTTCATACATATATGTTAATGCACTGTATCACGACTAACAGAAAAATGCACCACAAGGTTGTGTCTGTTTTAATTATTGATCAAACACTGAAACATAAGTTACAACTTTATCATTTTCTTTAGTTAGCATCTCAGCTCAGACTGACATGGAAATCAGTTAATCTCAATTTTTAGAGTTTGATTTAACAGCTCTTTCCTCAGTAGCTCTTTTGACTGGGCTTGTTAATGGAAGATAACCCCCTCGTTTGGTGGAGATGCTATAGTCCACACAGAGCATGTATTTGTGTTTCCTATTCCACATTTAGCCATGGCTTTGCTGTCAACATCTTGTGTCTCATCAAGCTCACCCATATCTGTGACATCAAATTACAACTGCAGTGTTAATTCAGTTTCCTGTGATCACCATTCACAGTTTGTTTGGTCATACGTTGCGACCACACTGCAGTCCTGAACAACTGCATACACAAAATATATACACAAAAGCTGAATGGAAGCCAGTGTCCACCATCCGTCATCTTCCCAGGTCAATTTTCAAAATGGTAACAATGTTTTTTTGCCCTTGTTCATGCAGGTGCATGCTTATATCATCAGCCATCTGAAAAAGGAGATGCCATCTCTTTTTGGGCGGGAGAAAAAGAAGGAAGAGCTAATAATGAGGCTCCCGGAGATCTACACCCTCCTGCAGAGAGAGCATCATATCAGCCCTGGAGACTTCCCTAATGTAACCAAGATGCAGGTACAAACAAACAAGATATCTAAAGACAGCAAGTGTCCTAATGTAGCAGTTGAAGTGTAGTAAGTATTCATACAAAGCACACATGAAAATGATGTGTAGCCGCTGCTCTTCAGGTGACAAACACTGACAAACTCTTTCATATTTTTTGTTTTTTTTATAATACAGTAAGGGTTAATAATCCAGAAAGGCATTAAAGTATTAAATTATTTAAGAAATACACATGAATTTAGACATGATCAGGTTGGTCAAAATATTTTATTTCAATTAAAGCAATAAAGAAAAGCAAATATGATAATGAAATAGAATATTTGTATTTCACATTTTAGAAAGTGGGCGTTTTTGTATCGACAAAATGTGGAAAGTTATTAATAAACTGACACTACTCATAAGATATTAACCCTGTAACATCTACAGTTAATTTTTTTGGAGTAATACAACCAAAACCAATGGTTTTTACCACAAATAGATGGAGAGACACTTTACGGTCAAAGTGTGAAATTTAAAAAAAGAAATATCATAACTCAATCTAGGCATCAAATACCTAAAGTTTTTTAGAGCTAGTTTAGTTTAGTGCACTTCATTATAACAGTATAATCAATGAAAAATCCGCTCTACCAAATTGTTGTGCAGGATGTTACAGGGTTAATATCAAATCAGTGTTGTTGTTGGTCATTGACATTTAACGGGTTGTATTAATGCCCCGCCAAAAAAATCTTAAATGTAAATCATTTTATATTTTGTGACTGGTAATTTAGTTTAATATCAGAGTCAGTCTTAGAGGAACATGTGCAGTATAAATTTAAATGAGTATTTTTCTGATTTCAGGGTGGGTTTTTAGAAGTCAGAACAGAATGAACTGAACTGCAGCTGGGAACTTTTGGCCTGCTGCGGAATTCTTCACCATGTGTGTCTTTTCCCCAAGCTGCATTTGTACTTTTTAGATAATTGGCAAGACTGGGTGTTTTTCGAGTTTTCAGTCCCCCGTCGAGAGATTTGCTCAGTTTGCAAGGAGTCGTTGTCCTGAAGAAGACCTTAAAACTTCAGTGTTTAACGTTTAGGACAATATGTTAGCAGAAAGAATAAACATACCCACAAAGACATTTTTATTAGTACACTCACATTAAAAGAAGAATAGTTTTGTTGCCATTTGAAATTGTTCATTTAATTCCACCTGACACAAGCTGTCCTCCTTGGTCAACCATCCTTGTACCACAAGAGCTAGTCCAGACCTTCATAGGTCCCTTTGCAAATTTGATTTAAATTATTTGTTTTTACCAGTAAAAATGAGTATTAATCATTCACACAAGAAGCCTATTTGTTGTTTTAATATCTCTTTTGGAATGTACAGGATATGGCAACTAATTATTGGAGTTTAATTGTGGTCGAACATTGAAGCAGACAACATATTTCAAAATAAAATATTTCAATTAATATTCGGAGTAACAAAATAAACCAAAAGAAAAATATGTTATCTCTTTTATTATTTTTTTAGAAGCACTTTGAATAATAAATACAGAGTCTGCACAAGAAGTAAGAATCAGTAGGTCAACAGCAGTTCTCTGTTAACGGTACAATAATTTTACCTTTGGCAACAGAAATGATCACTCTATTATTTTAAAAAGAGGAAATAGATAGTACAAATAGATAATGGTTCTTAATGTAATGGTTACAGAATGTAAAATTGTGGATAAGTTGGATCTTAGGGTGATGGTGTGGGGGAAGAATTTGATGTAAACTCAAAAGAAAGACCAGTCTCAGTGAATATTTCTCTCAATTCAACAACTGAACTACGATCCCTGAATAGACCAAGTGAGCAGTAATGACCAACATGTCTTCAGGGTCATCAGGTGGGGGCCGTACATGTTTCATTTCGTTGGGCCAGACAGTGATCACTGACCAGAGTCACTCCCCTAATGTCAGCCATCACTGCTCCTCACACCACAACAATGTCTTCTACCACTAAAAGTACTCCAGTAGCCACCCTGGCTTCTAACCAACTTCTGTTTCATCAGTCAGAGGGGGGTAGATAACAAAGATTGTGCCCAGGACATGAACAGCCAGAGATTATTTTATATTTTACGTGTCCTGTGATGGAGCAGCAAGGGACTGTTTAAATTTTAAAACTTAATTCAATTTAAAACAGTCCATAAACGATTTCTCCTGCTTTCAAGATATCGTATAACTGATTGTACATCTATTTGTAAAGGATCAGGAACAACTTCTACAACTTGGAACTAAAAATGTGTTGTCAGATGTGAGCCACATTCTGAAACTTCCCGTTGGTGCCAGTACAGCGCACAACGTGAATAACACGACCCAAACCCAGCAGTAAGCCCACGATCTCTGCAGACCTCTGGTGTTTTTCCTGTTTGGCCTTTGGTCTCTAGTAGGAAACGCACACGGACTATAAACAGTGAGGATGTGATGCAACTAAGCTGCTCTGGTTAGGATTTGAAGGTTGTTCTAAATCTATAGACACACAGAACCAGACGGGCCATTTGCTGTTGCACAGAGGTTAGCAGAAGATGCTGAGTCCAGCTGCAAACAGCAGGATTTTTTTTATTTTTGATGTGCAGCTCTGCTGCGTCGGACAATAAACACGTTTTGGACCGATTTCTAATCTATTTCCGTCTTGGCCCATGAAAATCCTTTAGATGAGAAAAAACACTATGTTGTTTTTCTTTTTTTTGCATTGCGTAATTTTATTCTTGAACCTACAGAGTCTTTGTTGTCATCAAAATCTAATCCACAGACTTTAAACTTCATGTCTCTTCTTCTTATTCTCCAGGACATGCTGCAGCACTATGATTTCAGTAAGTTCCCCTCACTGAAGATGAAACTGATTGAATCCGTGGATAAGATGCTCGCCACGAAAATCGCCGGTCTGATGGCGATGATCAGGGAGGAGGAGTCCAAGCAGCCTCCGGCCATGGTGTCGGGGGGTGCTTTTGAGGGCTCCCAGGATGGACCCTTTGGCCACGGTTATGGTGAGGGCATTAGTGCTGGGGCTGATGCTGAGGATTGGATAGTCAGCCGCGACAAACACCGCTACGACGAGATTTTCTACACGCTCATGCCTGTTAACGGCAAGATTACCGGCGTCAACGCCAAGAAGGAGATGATGAATTCACGGCTACCCAACACGGTGCTGGGAAAGATCTGGAAACTGGCCGACTGCGACAAGGACGGCATGCTGGATGACGACGAGTTCGCCCTCGCCCAGCACCTTATCAAAATCAAACTCGAAGGCTATGAGCTCCCCACTGAGTTGCCTGACCATCTTGTGCCCCCCGCTCACCGCAAAAACCCCACTGCAGATGCTCTGTACAACCACAACGAGGACTAGTGTGCTCTCACAGTGCCAAGAGGAGCATCAAAGAGACTAACTCTAACCTAGAACTTTTATATTATCCCGTATGAGTTTATGTACTAGTCATGTTACCTGATCCAAAGGCACCAAAGACAAAAAAGGCCAAGTAATGGTCATTTGGACATTTGAACCTCAAAGAGGGTGTTGTTATGAAGAAGAGTTCTCTTTCGTGGCCTTAGCTTTTCTGTCTTCTTTTTGCTACTTGATCTTTTTCAGTTTGGCAAAAGGACAATTTTCATTTGATTATGTCTAATATGAATTGTATTGATAGTAATACTTGACTTTGAACATCTGAATTTAAATTTGACCTCTGGTTAACTGAAGGCCTGTTAATTATATGTGGAACAGCAAAAAGAGAATTTTTACCGACACATAATAAACAATTACACCTTTAATTCCACTATTATTTATATTAAAAGCATATTTCTTTCGTATTGTTACTCAGATTATTTTCTAATAAATCTCACCAAAGAAGATTAATGCTGACAAAGTTTCCTCTCCTAAGTTTTTCATTGCTTGATTTCAATTAGCCTTTCCCCTGAAAGATTTGCTAAATCTCTCCTTTCTCCATTTGACTGCCTAAGTTCTAACTTGACAAGGAACACAGAATCTTGAGTGCTTGAAAGTTTAATAAAACCTGCAACTTCTGTTGTTGCCAGAAAATACTGCTTTTTATTTAGATCATAACCTAATGAATATGTTCAGAATATCTCATGTTGATTGATTTTTAACTGCTGTTTAAGTATCAAAAAGAAATACTATTTAGAAGAAGGCAAAGCAAAAATAACTTCAGGAGCCATACACAACCAACAATGAAGTCCACCAGAGGCCTTTTCATGAACTGATACTATACAAATTGTATAAAGAAAGTTCTGGTTTCTCAGTCATTCAGACTTTACATAAGCTGCACTTGTCATTCTAATCAGGCGTAGCTCTAGTGTCAAAGCAAAACCAAGAAACAGCTAAATCAATTACAAAAAAGCATAGAACCCACTATGTGGTCCAAAGTCCAAAATACTAATGTGCTTCATTCCTAAATTGGAATAATAAATAAAAATTAAACATTGTCAAAATGTGAGTAAGTGGTGCGAAAGAACAAAGGGAACGTTATCATACTTTTATTTATATATTTTTTAACCTCTTCCTGTTCAGCATCATGGCAGCAGAACTTAAATCTGAGTACCGTCCTATGCTGAACGCATTTGCTTTAGGAGGCTTTATTGGTGTAAAGCCCCCCTTGATTATCCAATGCGGCTTTATTAATGTATTTTTGTTGCAAGACTTTACATGAACCTAATAATGCTGAACCTGACAGAGGAACAGGGAAGAAAGAAGAGCAAAGGAAAGCAAACCCGAAAAGGCTAAAGATCCTTCAGGCAGAGAGAGATGTATTCTCCTCACATCAAAGAATTAATTAAACTGTTCACTTTGTAAAAAACTATTTTTTGTTAAAGTGACCTCTGCACAATATCTGTTTAAAAAAAACTTTTTAACAGCATGACTGGCAGCATCATGAAAGTCCACAACCCAGAGAAAAGTTTAAAGTTGATGTTGTTGTATTCTAATTCAGGACAGGGGTGCTCCATGTGTACAGTTCATGCTGAGGTCACATGTCAGCTCAGTGTTAGTTTGTTCTGTTTGGAAGTGAGAGCGTCCTGAAGCATGTAGCAATCATTGGTTTGTGTCCGGTTGTTTTGGTTTCCTCACATTGTTTACAGCAGCAGAGAAGAGCGGCGACCTCTGCCTGTACACACTTTTATCATCATGAAAACACGATGGCTTCATCCACGCCTAAATGCATCCAAGGTGGGATCACTGTTGGTACATTTCAGTGACGAATAAGACTCTTCAGCCATTTGTCTTGTCCCTTTGAGATTTTTATTTTTCAAATTGTAAAGATGCATTACAGATGCATCCCAAAAAACATAAATTACAACAAAGCAAATGTTTTATTCATTATAAATTCAAACACCTTTGTTTGATTTTATTACTTTAACATACATACCCATAATCATCATTTGTACATTGTCTCCTCATTAAAAATGTTTAATTGATACTGGGAAGATTTTTTTCAGGTTCTGGCTATGATGGAGGATTCTTCCTAGTTGTGATCGAAGCTTCTCCCCGGTTCTGGCTCTGTTTGGGTTTTACTGGTTCTGGTTATGATGGAGAAAGGTCTTTTTTCTTTATGTGGGATTTGATCAAAATGAAGTTTCAGTACAATGGATTCAAAACCATTTCTTTAGCTGCTCTTTAGAAATTGGACTAGAATTGAAACTCAGTGGATTATAATTGTGTTACAATGAATTTAATTTGATTTAATTGGACTGTCTATAGATGTCTATTGTTTTGATTTGGTGCCATACAGAGCCGGCCCAAGCCTCCATGTGGCCCTTTATATCTGCCAATAATACTGATTATGAATAATTCACACTCCAACAATAAACCCATTTCATGTTTTAATCTGTCATTGAGAATACACATGCAACAAATCAATGTGAGAATGTTTTGTTGGCATTAGGTTGTGAAGGAACATGGAAGCAAACAACAGATTTACAAATTTCCCAAAATAATCTTTAATTCAACACTTGTTCGAATCAGCATCCCTGCTGGTTCCATCATGTGTGGTTTTAAATCTAATTGGGGGCACATTCTGTTCTATGAGCTCTTTAGGTCTAATCTACAATTAACATTACAGCTGATAAAGCACAAAGAGGAATTCTTAACATGATCCAGGCCAGCAAAAAGTAGCAGAGTAAACCAACAGACTGTCATGATCGTGGCACTAGCGCTGGTCTGATTAATCATTCAATCACTCGTCAGCCTTAACAACTTCCACCTGCACCTCTGACTAAATAACCAGCTCCCAGACCAATCACAAGGGCCCAATTATTATCAGCCACCAGTGAGTTTAAGCCTGCATGCCTCCTGTTGCCTCCTGAACAGGAGAGATTTTGCAGCATTCTGGTAAGAATTCAGGGGGTGAATATTGGATTAGCCCCACCTCCACTTTCTACCTACGTTAGACCTGGCAGACGTATTTGCACCAGAGCCTCTTCCAGAGGAGACCTAGAGATCCCCACAGAAGAACGACATTTGGACAAACCGTTCTATCAGTCAGAGGGGGTCGCTTCTGGAAAAGCCTCCCAATAAACATCAGGGAATGCCCCACTTATTGCACATTTAAAAAGCACTTTAAACAGTTTCTTAAAAGTTCCCAGTCATGCACTGACTAATTTTATGGTTGTAATGTCATTGTCTGAACATGTGTCTATGTGTTTTGACTGATATTGTATTATGTGATTTTGTGTTGTTTTGTCTTTCTGCCTCAGGACGACAGATGTAAATTAGCAACTATGCTATAATCTGGCTCATTTACAATCTGTACAGAAGTATGAAATTGTTCATTAATGTGCACTGTCCTTACATAAATAAAATTGGGCAGAGATGTACAGTAACGAAGTAGAACTACTTAAGTACTGTACTTAAGTACCAAAATGCAGTATCTGTACTTCATTGGAGTATATATATTTTTCCACTACATATTTTTGATTAATTTAATACTTTTACTCAGATGGGTTTTTTTTTCTTTTTCACAGGCTGAGTCGTTACTGATATGTAAACGTAATGTGTTAAGAATTTGGGAGTCAGGTTGTCTGGCCATCCCTAGTCAAGTTCTGAGCACATGTACAGGAGGGCTGTGCACGGGGCATTGGGTGTACTGTGATTGGTCTAGACTCTCGCGCACGAACTGGACACGAGCTCATTTGCATAGATTTCGCGCCACAAACTGTTTAAAGTAGGATCGTAGCTACGCAAGTCAGCGCAGAGTGACCAGAAGAGGAATCCACGCTGGACTGTTTGTTCTGTTAGAATTGTGCTCTGATTACTCACTTTAGCACAGTATGTTATAACTTAATCCATGTAAATGACTGATTGTCTTATTCCTTTTTAGATTCATATTATTCCCTTTAGAATTATACTTTTGGGTTAAACTCTGGCTGTGCCTCCTCCTCTCTCTGTTATCATTTGCAACACACTCTGTGTTCTCATTGGGTTTGCATTAGTGAAACGAACGAGGAAGACTGCAACTCCAACTCCATCCTCCTCTACCAAGCAGCCGACATTTGAGAGCTGGACAGCACCCCATAGATGGGTTGACAAGGCCATTGTGAACTAGAACATTTATGAAGAAATTTTGGAGGGGGGCCACCCGCTGCCCGTCTGGGAACCCGGGGCGGGTCGGCCAATCGATATTTGGGCTCTCTGTAATGTGGGCTCGTGCCTATGAGAGGGCCTGAGGGCCCTCTGATGGAGGGACCCGGCTGAGTTCTGGGGTTGCCGACTGAATGCAATTGGTTTGAGCAGGTCGGGGGTCACATTGGCTGAAAGCTGAGAAAAAGACCTACGCAACGAGGTATGACATGGCTGGGTCCGGCCCCGGTCCGGTTGAGTCCCATCCCCAGAACCAGAACCAGAACCGGGCTCTGACTAAAACCCTCTAAACGGGCTTCGCCCGCCATGGTTACAGAAATACTGTATTTCTTAAAAAATCACTGAGTGCGGGCTTCGCCCGCTTTTTGCCAGTATCACTGTCTTAGTTAAATCTTTCTAAGCGGGCTTCGCCCGCTCTATAAGCAGAAGCACAGCTCACAGAGCTATGCAGAGACCCACAGCGCTGCTGTGGGTCTCTGGTGGTCGCCACGGCGACGGCAGCCTGGTGCCAATTCTGAACATTCTAAACTGCCACACCTGTGACTCATCACTGACACAGACCCAACGGACAGATGAATCAAAAGTATCCTCCGAACTACTGCACGCTGTTCAAAAACTATTTCACCAAACTGGAAAATTCTTGGACCGTGAGTGCCTACAGAGTTTAAGGTCGAAGTCGGTGTATTTTATTTTCGGCTGCGGCAACCGGTTATTTTTTTATGGCAATTTCAAAATGAGGTCCGATTTGACAGTTGATCAGA